TCACCTCCCTGCTCAAGCAGGGTCATCCCACAGCACCTGGCCCACGATTGTGTCCAGACAGTTCTGGAATATCTCCAGGGAGGGAGACTCCACACCCAATGTGGGCGGCCTGTTCAGTGCTCGGTCACTGCACAGGAAAGTTCTCCTTTATGTTCAGGTGGAACTTCCTGGGCATCAGTTCCTGCCTGTTCCTCCTGTCCCATTGCTGAGCCCCACGGAGCAGAGCCTGGGCCATGCTCTGAGCCCTCCCTTTGGACACTGACAGACAGGGATGAGGTCCCTTCTCAGCCGTCTCTTCTCGAGGCTGAGCAGGCCCGATTGCCTCAGCCTTCCCTCGGCAGAGAGTTGTTCCAGTCCCTAAATATAGAGAGAATACAGCGAGATTATTGACAGGATCGGATGTGCAGCAGGACTGCCTTGAACTGTTCTCACTCCGCCAGCTCCTAGAATTAAAAAGCACACGAACGTCTGCACCCGGAGCAATGCTGTCCCTGCTGGTGTTCCGAGGCCTTCCCGAGGAGCGGGTGTGGAGGTGCGGGTTTCCCCAGATCCATGGGAGGAGCTGCGGGCTCTCCCGAGGCGCGGCTGCCGCCAGATGGAGCAGCCGGGCAGCGGCACCTGGGAGCGGAAAACCCATCGTGGGGACACCCGAAACAGCGCCGGGCTCCAGCCAAATCCACCGGCTGGGAGCTGTGCTCCTACACCGGCATCTCACCCAGGAGAGGAACAGGCATATTCCATCAGATCCTGCCTGGGAAGCGCAGACACCACCGTATCTTAACCCAGCGGATGCAAGAAGCAGATTCCTGCGAAGTAGCAGATTCCCGTAAAGAAGCAGATTCCCGTAAAGAAGCAGATTCCTGTAAAGCAGATTCCCGGAAGAACTAGATTTCTGTTAACTGCAGATGAGTCAGCGTTCATGTAAGAGTGTAGTGTGGTTGTAACAACATGTACATACAAGAATAAAGGATATATACATACCCTTTTTACATATATATGTATGTGAAGGATGTATACCCTACAGTTATCTTACATTTTGATTCTAGTAATTTCTATCATACTAAAAAACAGACCTAATAAACACCTACTGATGATAACCTGTGTGCATTTTTAACTGCAGTAGTGAAGTTATGTTTCAGTTTAGCGTAGTGGATAGTACAAAAAATCCCTTCTTTGATGGTTGGCAGACTTCATTGCTTTTAATTTTGCCCCTTGGAAAGCTGCTTGCAGCTGGAATTTGGGGTGTTACTTTTTAAAATGTACATGGCATTTAGGTTCTTTGCTCATTTTAGAAATTACATTTGTATTTTACATCCAAATCGTAAAAATCAAGAGCATCAGTAGACCTGTAACATTTTGAGTTGTTACACAGAGAGTTATTTTATGTGATCATATAAAGCATGGGGAGGTTAAGAAGTCCCCAGTGTAGCCACAGGAAAGGGACAAAAATTGTGAGTTATATTTCTTCTTCATTTTTCATCCTGCATTTTCGATTTCTGAACAAGGAATGAATGGGAGATGGTTTATCTTAAATCAGAAATTAAATCATAATGATGTCTGTTTACAAAGACAGAAACCTCTGTTATTAAACCATTCTTGAGGAAATGGCAGCATTTTTAACATTTGGCAGTAACTTTTCCAAGGCTGTACTGGTATTAGGAACCAGTGTGATATTTCAGGAGCCATATGTGACACAGCTGTTTTAATGCTCGTTTGATTGCTCCTGGTGCTCTTTCAGACTAGCACGCTGCATGTTACTGAGCTGGGGACTGAAACAAACCTGGATGACAAGAATGCAGAAGTGTCCTGACATTAAATTCTCAGAGTAGGGCCAGGCACGTCTGTGGCAGGCAGCCCCTTTCCTCCTTCTTTATCCCAGCTCAGATGGGATTGGGATGTTCTGTTCCACAGCCATGTTCCTAAAATCATACCATCATAGAATGGTTTGGCTCAGGAGACCTTGAGGAACATCTTGTTCCAACCACCTGCCATGGGCAGGGACACTTTCCACAATCCCAGGTTTCTCCAAGCTCTGTCCAACCTGGCCTTGAGCACTTCCAGAGATGGGGCAGCCTGTCCTTCCCTATTGCAGTGCCTCACCACAATCAAAGGATTTTTTCCTAATGAAAGCAATGACAGGGAGGTGTCTTTACCAACTAACTGTGGGCCTGCTGGTAGATAAAGCCAGATACTGAGAGGTGAAAAAGCAATGAGGGAAAACAAATTCCAGAGGAATTCCACTAATTGACACAGACTGCTGCTCATCCAAGGCCATGCTAAATTCCTGGACTTAGAGAAAAAGATCAGGATACACATTAGAAGGGGGTCTGTATTAGGCAGTTCAGGAAGTCTGTAGCTTGCAAGCATCTCAACCACTGGGGAAAGACGGGGGAAATGCAGCTGGGATATTAGGATAAAAAGGAGGCTGCATCCTTTAGAAATTTGAGAGACCCCAAGGCCTCTCCCTTTATTCAAAGAAAGCTACAGAACTTTATTTACTCCTCTGTCTCCTTTTTAGACATAAAACTCTGGCATCGTGAAGTAATTTCCTGACACTAATCCCTAATCTAAATCTGCACTCTCTCTGTCATTGTGAACCCATTCCCCCTTGTCCTATCACTACATGCTCTAGTAAATCGCCTTGCCCCATCTTTCCTCTAAGCTCCCTTCATGCACTGGAAGGCCACAGTTAGGTCACCCCAAAGCTTCTCTTCTCCAGGCTGAACGCTCCCAACTCCCGCAGCCTTTCCCCACAGGAGAGGCGCTCCATCGCTCTGAGCAGCCCGGTGCCCGCTCCGGACAGAGGCCGTGTCCAGCCGGGTCTGTCCCAGCCGCGCTGCGGCTCCTGGGGCGGGCGGAGGCGGCGGCTCCCGGCGGCGGAGCAGGCGCGGAGGCCCCGCTGCCCAGGCCCCGCTGCCCAGGCCCCGCTGCCCAGGCCCAGCGCCCCGCGGCACCCGGCGGAGCTGAGGGCGGGCCGAGCCGGGCCCTCCGCGGGGCCCCTCCTCCAGCGCCAGCGCTGCTTCCAGCCCGGCCGGCGGAGAGCCGGGCGCTGCCGGCGGAGGTAGGCGGGGGAGGGGGGGAGACAAAGCAGGGCTCGGCGGGGCGCTGGAGGGCTCTGTCGCTGAGCTCCGTCCGTGAGGGCTCCGCGCCGCCGGCCCGCGGGGCTCGCGTGTGCGGCCGCGCCGCCGCGGGGAGCGAGCGCCGGGGGAGCCCCTGCGGCCGGGCCCGCGCCTCGGGCCGCGCTGCGGGCGCGGCTCTCATGCCCCCAAAGACTTCAGGCCGCGCTGAACCCGATTCAGCTGCACAGAATCCCCGAGTCATTGTGGTGGGAAGGGAGCTCTGAGATCGTCCAGGCCAACCCTCCCGCCCCGGCGGGGTCACCCCGAGCAGGTGACAGGAAAGCGTCTAAGTGCGTTTCCAATGAATATCTCATTTCTCCAAGTCACACTGCGGCTGGAACAATGCTTCAGCAGTAGTAAACCTGAAATTGACAAGCAAATAAATAAAGAAATAGCTATAGTGTAATTAAATTTCGGCTATTTGAAAGGATTTATAATTACATTTTATGCTCAGCCTATTCTAGTCATAACATTTTTAATAAATTTTAAAACATTCAGAACATGTTGATTAATTTTAATGAGATGAAATTTTATGTTTTTGCAATGAGTCAGGGAAAACATCTTTAATTTTCAGGCTTAGTTCAGATTTTGAAGATATCGCTGCCGTGTGCTGTGCTGAGTACCTCTACAGGGGAAGAGCTCTGCTGTTTGTGTTTCTGAGTGTCAGCCCTTTCTCTTACCTGAAAGTCTGATTATTGGCTTCAGTATCAGCTGGCTGATGAAAGTGACCTGTAACTTCTTGAATATAGCCTTCAAAATAGAGAAACTAGCTAGGAGATGGGGGGGGTGGGGGAATCACTCTTAGTTTATAATTAGAAGAACTGTGAATAGGTCTATAAAAATTCAAGGGCAGAGGGAGTTATGGCCAGTCTTTCACGGATGCTTTGTAATTTAACAGACCAGGTAAGCGGGGTATCCTAAGTGCCTAGACAGGTTAGGTGCCAAATTTCCTTTTATCTCAGTGGCATGAGATCATTCCCTGCATTTTTAGGCATCTAAGAACCTTGTAAAATCAGCTTCTAGGTCCTTAGAAGTAGTTTATTCATCTAATGAGTAAATATGTTACCTCTTGTGTTAAATAAACCAGTTAAGTGCTTTGATTATATTACATGCTTTGATAAATACACAGAAGAAGAGCAATACTCTTAAGGTCTCAGTTCTTACAAAACAATATTAAAATGCTCTTTTATGCATTTCAATTGAATCCAGGTTGTCTAGCAAATACAAGACTTTCTTACCAACTCCTTTAAACTAAAATCTGAGTAAATATATAGTTAGTAACATATTATTACAGTAAATAATTGTAGATATAGTGAATGCTTATGGTTAGGAAAGAAGAGTATGAAATGGTGAGGTGAGAATGGCAGTAAGCATATTTTAACCTTTATCCCACCAAGCAGGAGTAAGCCCTTTCTAAGCAAAATAAATGAAAGTTGCAAATGCAGAGCAGGTTCAAACCTGCTGTATTTACTAGTTACTGATGCCAATCATGATTTATATCAGACAGACCACCTGCTTTGTGGGTTTCAAGTACTAGACCAGGCTCTAAAGGTAGGATTTTCAGAAAGTGATGATTTAGGAGCCAGATGTTGCTCACGCTTACAGGATGTGTATGGACCAGTGATGAGATAGTCTTCCTTTGCAGATGGGAATATCTTGAGTCCCTATCTGTTCACCAGCTGTTACTGAAATAATTGATGGACTTCTGGCCTATTTTATCAATCAGGTGACATCTTGCACACTGTTTCTTGTGAAGCCATGTTCTTTAGTCTGTCTCAGTGTCTGAGTACCTTGTGTTTGGATTTGCTCCAGTGCTGTTCTCTTATTTCTTGTAAAAGGTGCAGGACACACAGAGCTGTCATTGTATGGTTGAGACAGAAGAAATTATTGCCTCACATTCTTGTTCATCACCATATAGTGTCCACCATGATACAGACAGCTCCAGGTAAGAGGGCTTAACTCTATATCTTCACAGCCTGGTGGGTTTGGGATGTGCAGTGTGGGTGGGTTTTTGTGCTGTGTACATGCATGTGGCAGAGATGTTCACTCAGTTACCTCAGTGAGAAGCTGTAAGGAGCAGTGAGGACAGCTCGGTGGTGGGGCAGGCTGGGTGCTGTTGAGAGAGGCTCCTGTGTGGACATTTGGGAAGGGGCTCATTTTTCTCTAAGTGGGAGAGTGAGCTGAGGGATAGGAGGGTTTTTGCTTGTCTGAAGTCATCATTTGGTGAAGGCGGAAGTAGGGTGAGGAGATGGGAATGTTAAACTGGAAAGAGCTGAAATGAGCTTTACACCATAGAGTTATCTGAGGACCCTCTTCAATTATTTGTATTTGCAGGACTTTCAATGAGTTGGGTACGATGTAATTGTTTTAATTCCTTTAATTATTCTTAATTTTTCTTCAGCATTTTTCTTCTCAAGAAAACCTGCTGGTCGCAGGTTCAAAGTTGAGGTGTTGTAACATGATTTTACCATTCCCTTTGGATGGAGAGAGCAGGAGCATTGCTCACTTTGTTCCCCTGCCCTTGGGGTGAAAGTGAGAGAGAGAGCATCACCTAAACTACAGAATCTAAGACTTGGGGTGAGTGTCTGGGGGGACCACAAAGACATAAGGAAAGCAGCCGTTGAATTGCAACAGAATAAAAACATTGCACAGCAAAGCTTGGTTTCTCAGCAACTTCACGTTCTAGAACTCTTGGGTTTGTTTTTTTCCCTTGAGATGCTGAAGATTCTTGGTACCATGTGAAGTCAGTAGGAGCTATGGGGACTTAGCACCTTTGAAAGCTGTGCATAATTTTATGGATGTTGACATTTCTATCCCTTCATTAGACCAAATCCAGTATTTTACAATCCTGGTGTTTCCTAATGTCTGGGTGAATTCACTAGGGAACAGTTTGGTGCTAGAATCAAATTGCACATTAAGTTACTTGTCAGTTACAACATCAGAGTTTATGAATGTTTTTGGCTGTCATGTGATTGTACCTCTAACACACAAAGTTTACAGTTCCTTCTGTGCTGTTCTGGGGTAGGATCCTTGCTCCTTTGTAGCACCACTGGCATTTTGCAACATGCAACATGCCTATCTTCCTCTTCTGCTTGCTTGTGATTCTGATCAATGGGTTGATGTCAGATGCAACTTTGTGCACATTCTTGTAGTTGGCTTCTTACAGACCTTACCAGTCTGTGAGCTGTCAGAGGTTTGCAGCTGCTTTATAAGCCTTTTGTTTATCTTCCTGAGTGAGCTGGCTGGCTGCTGACAGTCATTTAGTTGTTTTTTTCGTGGGCGCTGCTTATCCTAATAGCAGGTTAAACACTTTTGTGGTGTATCTGTGCTGCAACTTGTTAGTGTATTGTCAAAATATCCTTTAATGGCCTGTGGTGTGTGGTTAAATAAATATCTGCTCACTGAAAATTGCCTGATTGATCATCTTGATTCTTAATTGGAACTTAATTGAATTTTTTCAAGGAATTCATAATTCTATGTGCCAAAAGTAGGAATCTGGGATTACTTTACATGTTAGGACATGGTTTATGCTTCAGTGCTTCCACTAGTGGTCTGTATGTAGCAAAAGTCTTAAAAACCCTTCTGTGTGCTGTCCCTCAGGTGTTCACTAATGTTCTCTGCAGGACTTAAATTATAGTGAATATGACAAGAGTTTATAGAAATATTTGTTAGAGTTTGGAGAAAATGAGTGCTCCTTGTAAAGTCTTTGAGAGTTTTGGGTGTGATGCTCACATCCAGAATTAAGCAGGAGCCACTCTGCTATGCCAAGCACCTTGTTCAGTCAAGCCAAAAAAGCCCAAATAAATGTTAATTTTGTGAGTAGAAATTTCCTTTGGGGAAATTGTGAGGGGAGTGAAATGGTCAGTAATTTAGTATGAGAAAACTACTTTCAGTTTCTTAAGTCCCAGTAAGTTTCTGCCTTATCTTGAGGCTGATTAATGAGTTACCAATGTGCTTGCCACAAATTCGTTTGCAGAACACCAGACAGCAGTGTGAGTACTACTTTCATTATGCTCTGGATATTTTTAAACTTTAAGTCAACTGCACTTTGAAGCTAGTTATTGCAGAGTGTTTTATTTGACCAGAGAAGCCAGGGTAGCTGGTCACCTTTGCCATGGCACCGTGAGTGTTGGCGGTGTGGAGGATGGTAATGCAGGTGGACTTTGGGCAGCCAGCTTCAACCCAGTGCAGGAAGATTGTGCTTCAGCTGTGGGCATGTCTGCTCAAAAAGCATCATTTCCCATCTCTTACAATTAAATTGCTTTAGGAAATTGTATCAGTTTGAGGGGGCAAAGCTGATCTCTTACTATCAGTGAGAGCCCTGTGTTATCAGCTCTCCTACTTGCGTTGTCCCACCCGTGCTGCAGAACCTTCATGCTCTGGAGAACTTATTGTGAGACATTCACTGAATTTAGCCCAGAGAAGAGATGGAAATTGATTTCAGCACATTGTGCTAGTCCGAGAACATGCCACAGAGGTGAAGCACAAGCACAAATCAGTTTCTGAGAGGAAGGAGTGAATCCTGCAGCACTTCAGACTGTTCAGGGTTTGTGTGAATGTCACTCTAGGTGGAAAGCTGCTCACCTTTTGTTAGAAAGGTAAAAACAAACACTTCATTGTCTCATTTTCCATCATTCCCAGGCCTGGCATGGGAGCTGTACCAGTTGTGTATTTTGGGGGTTTTTCCCTACTGCTCTAGGACAGACAGAGCATGTGTTCATTACTTGGAGCTCGAGCCCTATTGAATGAGATTATTTGTAGCTCTGGAAGCAGAGTGTGTCACTCTGCTGTCACTAGCCAGCACACACTGCCATTCTGAGTCACTGCTGTGTCACCAGCCTGCCAAAAACCCAAAAGCAGCAGTGGTAAAATGATGAACTTGGATGTTTTCTTTAGACTGGCACAAAGATGAATGAAGTAGTGAGAGAAATCAACTATTTGATGAATTTCCTACTGTGCCTCTTTGCAGCTATGGAGCATATGTGGTCCCTTCCCAAAACCAAGACTTTTGTTCAGTGTCAGCAGTGCTTGGATCCTGCCGTGACATGGGTGATTTGCAGTCAGCCATTTTAGTGCAAAAGAAAGCTTTCTCTGTTGCAGTAGTTAATTTTTAATATGAAAAATAGTGTGATACCACTCCACTTTTGCTTTGCACTGAGGAGATCTGTTCAGGAAAGACTCTAAAACAGGTTGGTTTGGGCTGAGAAAGTATTGCATACACACAGGGATAAGAGGTTTTCTAGAGGTTGAAAAAAAACCCAAATGCTCATCTGTTCTATAGTACTGACATTACATGTACAATAAGAAATCTGCAACTTGTGTATATGTGATTTTATTTTTAATCCTATTGGATACTTTTTGTTTGTTTTTGATTATCCTTGGAAGCCCTTTCCTCAGCTGAGGCGCATGGTGGGAAGTATTTACGTAATGAGCAGCAGCAACAAGTGAATGAGGTGAAGTTTTGGTCTCAGAGTGCTTGTTCTCTGGGACAGATCTCTGTCCCTTGCTGAGAACATGTGACAGCATTTTACAAGCTGGGGTCCTGAGTCTTTGCTTCATCCTACATGAGACTGTTCTGGCATCTCTGCTCTGAGTCCTGACTGCCTTATCCATCCACCCCTACATTTCTGATGGCCTGACTCAAGAGCACCCTGAGCACTACATGTCCCAGTACCAGCTCTCTCCTCCAACACTTCCTCAGGGACTTCTTGGTTGCTACAGACAACTTCTGAAATCAACATGAGTATTTAAACATGTAACAAAGCAGGGAGAAGAACTGATATGTGAAAATAATTAACTGATTTGTGGTAAAAATTAGGACAATAAGAAGATACCTGAGAGATTTGTCAATTATGATCTACTAGTTGTGGTATAGTGAAGCTCTGTCTTTTTTCTGGAGCTTTGTGTGATGCTGAACACACATGAGAGCTGCTCAAGCCAAAAGCAATGTACTGAAGAATTTGATATTGAATTTGTCATAAACCTGTTTTTTTCTTATCTAACCTGAGATCTCATTGGCAGTTTCAATAACCTTCAGTAATTACTGTAAAGAGTTGTTTTCTGAGAATCGAAACAGAAAGCAAATACAATTTCCTGCGTTTGACCTTAAATACCAGGGTTTTGTTCCACTCAAATTCATTTAGCAGCTGGGTTTAGTCTCAGTTGCAGCGGTCAAAAGATAAGTTACAACATCTTCTGCAGGATTTGGACTCGCCGAGATGCCGATCCGTGTTGATGATGTGATGGCACTGCTCAGCCATGTTGCCAAGGTGAAGGGCATGAAAGCTGCTGTCACACATTCTGGCCGAGGAGCTCTGCTGACAGGAGCATCAGCCTTTTTGGGGGGGCTGCTGGGAGGCCCACCTGGAATTGCTGTCGGTAAGTGTGCTTTGCTTTGGGAACGAGAGGGTGGTTAAATCCCTGAGTGAAGAAATGAGGAGGTTTGAGTAGGAGGTGTGGGTTGAAGGAAAGGAGCAGTCAGTATTGAGATTTTCTGCTGTGATGCGGGGGTGAAGGTGAATAAGCCTTAGCATGGGGCAGGATCATTTTCCAAATTGGTTTACTAAAAATTATGCTTATTGCTGTATTTTAAAAGCTCCTGATATCCACGTCCTGATGAACTTGGTTTTTATCTGCTAGTTTCATTATTCCCTGTCACTTTGCTTTTCTTCTTGTTACGGAAAGTTACAGGAAAGGCAAAGTCTAATAGTAAAGAATTGTCTCTCCTCTGGAATTAAGAGTTGTCTAGTTTGGAAGCTGCCTTGTCACTGAAGGCATCTGAGCCCTTGAATGTTGAGCAGTTGAATGTCCTGTGAGCAGTTGCAGGAATTTCACAGGCTTAGTGATTCTGGAGTGAATTGCAGTGTGTTTTCATCAGGTTGAGTTACAAAAACAAGCAAATAACTTGGGAGGAGTGATACCAGAAAATGCAAAGTGCAGCTGTGTATTTACTCCTATTACAGGTACAAAACTTAATTAATAGCCAGAATAATATTTTGACAAATATATGACTGAAGTTATCAGGAACAGAGAAGGGAAATTTAGCTTATGTAAAAACTTCATAAGCTTAAAATCTGAAGTAAAGGTAATAATGGAAGTGGCCTCATTCTTGAGTGAGATGAAGAGAAATACTGAAGTTATTCTTGGATGTATTTTCTCTTTTAAGTGTTTAAGCTTTCATAGTGTCTCCCAGTCTTGCTTGATGTTCTTTAGCCACTGAGGAAGGCACTGGAACAAGTATACCTATTACTTTATACTGAAAGTATACAATAATAAGCATATATAATAAGAGTAATAAGTACTAACTGAACTAAAAGCCATGACTCAATTACTGTGCAACTAAATCATAACCCTCTCATTTGACTTTTAAACTTGGAAAAGTAAATAAGCCAAATAACTTTAGGACAGTTAGAGAGACATTTACAATCAAGTGCACTTTCATTTGCTCAGACAGCCTGGATAGGTGTGGGACTGGGTGGCCAGGGTTGTCCCTCTTGCTGCTTTGCACCAGGAATGTGGATGAGGTACCTGCCATGTGCAGCATTGCTGGAGAAGCTTGCAGTCATCGTGCTTCCCAAGGACTGCCTGCTCTGAGCACAGTGGACTATGGGCTTGTTGCTTGGGGAAAAAAGTGTGATTGTGTAACAAATCTTGTCTCGATGGACGAGGAGCTTAGACATCAATACTTCCAGTGGCTTTTGCATTAAGTGCCCCTAAATCAGTTATTGATGTTCTCATAAAAATCCCTTGAAGATGAATTCAGCCATCGTAGGCTTTCAAGTATTTTTGTGGTATCATGGGGAAAATTGCGAACTGAGTAAAAGCTGCAAATTAAGAATTTTTGTCTAATGAAAAACTGCATCCCTGTGAGTGCATAGGTGACTTTGTAGGAACAGTTGCTGGGGTGGCAGTTTTGGTGGCAGGGTCAGTTCTGCCAGCTCTATTGTGAGAGTCACTTCTTTGCCTTCCTTGCCTTCCTGTGCATGGGGTGTGCATGTGGTAGGTGAAAGCCTGAACGTGTCTAATGGGTTGGGTCTCTGAGCACCTGCAGGGGTGGGCTTCATGTGTGTAGGAGGCTGCAATGTGTGACTCTTAAAGAAGCAGAAAGCTTTGATCAGTCTGGGAGTATCTAGTAAGAGATTATGACACTGATAAGGCCACTGATGTTCTGGTGTTTTCCTTGAGCAAGGTTTTATTTGGTAGTAGAGCTTACCCTAAGAGAGCGTCCCAGGGAGTGTTTTGTTTCTGGTTTCTAGCCTGAAGATATTAGTGTTGATTGTATAAAGGGGTTTCTTTATGATTATTGTGGATGTAAAGAGCTTTTAAAATCCTTTTTGGTACTTTGGATATCATGTATAAATCTAGTTAAAGCAGACACATATACAACTCTATGTTGATTTCTAATCAAGGTGGGAACATTGTTGGTGAAGGCTGTGGATAGAATTTCAGGCTTTAACATTAACTGGTAAAGAGTAATGATTGATTCACTGTCTTTCCTAGGAGGAGCAGTGGGTGGATTGCTTGGATGGGTAACTTCTGGAAAGTTCAAGTCAGTCCCTGAGATTTTAATGGAATTGCCTGCTGCTGAGAAGCAGAAACTCTGTGCTGAAGCCATGGCTGTTGTCAAGAACTTACACTGGACTGATGCTGCTCAGCTGATTGGTTTTGTAATGGCAAATCCTACTCTCACAGACAAGGTGTTAAAAGTGCTGACCACTTACCTTACCAATGAAATAAAAGCACAAATCAAGTATGGAGAATAATCCTCTGCAGAGCAGGATTTTTATGCTGGAACAAATTTTACTCCGATAGTTGCAAATCTTCAACACAACAATTACTAATTATCAGTACTAATTATAAATATATGCTGAACTAAGTAATTCTGGGGTGTTTGGTCTTGGTGTTTGGGGTTTTTTTAATTTTTATCATTATCATTTTTTTTTGTGTGGATTTATAAAGATAATATTAGGTTACTGCATTATCCTGACATTGACTTGCTCTGTTTTGAGAGTTTTTGAGAGTCTGTTTTGCTCCAATTTTGGATTGCTCTGCACTAGGACTGATTCAAAACACTGAAGGGAATCATTCTGCTCTTAGGCCAATGTGCCACTTGTGAAAATATTCAAATTTTTAGGAGACTTGGTTCTATTTGTTGAAGTGCTTTGACTTTTTTCCCCCGTGAATGATGGATAAGATGCCAAAGTAGCTGGGGCACTTTGAAGAATTTTACCTCTTGTTTGTTTCAGCCCTGCAAAGGAAAGTTTTGTTATGAAGTATGTTACTCTACTGTGAATTTCAAGGACACAATCCATACTTTGTTAGTCACATTTTTATTGTAATTCTTGAGTTATCTTTTTATGTAAGAAGTGAGCAAATACTTAAACAAGATTTCAAGTAACGTGAAAACAAACTGTGAATACTGTCAATTCAATTTTCACCGAGGTCCTGTGCCCTAGAACCAGGAGGGGGTGGCAAGCATTAAAAAAATGTGGAGCTGAATCTTCCAGTTTTACATTAGTCCCAGGATTAAGGTTGTCATTTCAGCATTGGTTTCTTGATTGAGTCTGTACAGCTGGTCCTCTGTTTTCATTAAAGTATTCATAAGAAGCCTCATAGTGATCTGTGTGTTGCTTTAAATTAAATGAATCCTTTAAGAGCTCAGGCAGACCTGTAGTGGGCACCCAGCAGTTGGCAGCAGCAGTGCTGCTGGGGTGGGGTGATGTGCCAGCACCAAATGCCATGGTGCTGAATGTCCCAGCCACTTGTTCACACTGGGTTTCAAGGCACTCGTAAGACAAGTTTGTAGGTATAAATATGTTCAGGTGTGCCTTCTTTTTATGTAAAGCCAAGAGAAACTGCTCTGACAAGTTCATTTTTTTGCCTAAAATAAAGATCTATCTGTGTGTGTGTGATGATGTTTCTACAAGTCAAGGTTTAAATGGTAAAGCTTTAAACTCAGAAACTGCTGTTGCATGCATTTGATCAATTTACTTCTGCAGGTACCATTTGCCTTTGATAAATTCAGTGGAGTGCAGGGCAGTGACTGTTCCCAGCATTTGATATCACTTCTTCATTAATGTGAAAAGGAGGTGGAAATGAATGGTAAGTGGGCACTCCTAACCTTGTCAGAGTTTCATAATGCCAAGCCTGAAATCAGTGGGGTTTCAGTTTCATTGGCAGATTACACATGCTGCAACTTTTAAAAGATTTTAAAAACTTTATTCATGTAAAAATACTACTTTTATGAATCCAGTAACTTTTATTTGCAATTTTCTGGTTATTTCACAAATTAGATTCAGTCTTTCCAAAACAATACACTGCTAGCAGTGGCAGATGATTGAACAATCCAGTGGGATGGAGTTGACATCCTATGCTCAGCTGTTCAAACCCGGAAAGAACGGAGTTGACAACTGATTGTAAAGCAGGCCATAGGAAAAAATGGGGATTCCACTTCATCTGTGATAGTATTTAGTATTTAAACAGACCTTTACAAGTTTCAGACATCAATATCATGACCCCCATTTTACAAGTATTCATAAATTTGGGCCCAAACATAGGTAGTGAATTGATTTTTATCACTTGTTTCAGTGTAATAGATGTGGATGGAGTTCAGATCATTTTACCCTGATCCTTTGCTCTCCTGTGATACTCTATGAGTATTCTTTGAAATGCTTTTTATTATACCCATAGAAATTGTAAACCAATTAGAACGACGCTCTTTTAGCCTTCATTGTGGTATAAAAGGGGCGTGTGTCATATGGATTGCAACAGAACTCGGGTCCAAGCAGTTCAGAGTTCTGTACAGACCAGGTGTAACTTATGCCAAGCCCCACTTCTGCTGAGCTGCTGGGAAGCTTTATGGCAGAGGAGCATGCTCTTAGTCATTACAATAAATTTAACTTCTAGAGGTATTCAGATGACTGGAGTAGAGAAGAAGAACCAGAACAAAGGAATTGAATTCCATTTGTTCTCTGTATATTTAACAGGTTTGATGATCTTAGAGCTCCTTGGAAGGTGGCAGGTTGCTGTTTTCAAAGTGGCAGCAATAGGTCTGGAGACTGATCTGAAACACATTTCACTACTGGAAATGGAAGAACAGAAATGAGCTCAAGTGCTCGTCTCATGTGAGTTTGGACTTAAGAGAATTAGGAAATGACCACTGCTGGTAGATGCCCTGATACTGAACTGCTGAGGGAGAGAATGAGCATGGCAGCCACAAAGATGTTGTTGTTTGTGTTTCAGTGCTTTATAACAATTTATTTTGCTGAATGCTGCAGGAAGAGCAAATTGCATCTTTAGAGCTCTAACTGCAGCCCCATGCTATCGTATTGAGGTCACCATGATTTTTGATCTGTAGCCTTAAGTGGGAATTTGGGCGAGTTAAAAGCACCCTTCGGCAGATTTGATCATCTGAGGGAGAAGAGCAGCTGCACAAGAGTGTTTTAATATCCATCTGTTGCTGTTCTTTGGTAGAGACATGGCTGTCCACCACTGCATCCCTTGTTGGTGTTGGAAACAGCCACAGGCGGGGGATGGCATCTTCTGAAATCCATTCCAGCTGCATAATGTCCAGGCTGAGTGTGAGGCACTGCCATTGCCTTGGAAACGAGGTAAGACAGTGCCAGCAGTTTTGGGAAGCAGCTGAAAGAGTCACTGTGGGGAGATGTACATATTTATATAAAGAAACCATCTGCGATGCTGATTATTAACCTGGTTTGGTTGTAGATGTGACAGAATCAAGCTAGGTTTTCACTGGCAGATGGTGTATTTTTAGTTAAAAATTCTTTTTTCTTTTTTTTTTTCTTTGTTTTTTCATTTTTTAGCTTTCTGATTTCAAAATAGAAAGCAACACAAAGTGTTCTGTTAGCAAGGACAGGGAATAGATATGCTTTTTTAAAAGGCAGTCCTGAATTCAGATACAGATTAGTAATTGAGATGTGCCATCTAGTGGCAATTATATTAATTCTTAAACTCAGCCTCTCAAGGCTGCCTCAGTATCTGGATAACACAGTTAGTCACCTTTTTCTAAGTAAGGTTGCATTATTTTTTTGCTCTTGCTCTGTCAAATTTCTAGCTTTTGTGAATTTGTATTACACTAAAAATATCAGCCCAGCTACAGACCAGACTAGAATTTATATGCATTCCCTGCTGAAGTTGGCTCTTTGGTGATTATCATATGTGAGCTGTAACAGCACAAATATTTACTGCAGCTGCATGTCACATTTAATTACAGTGAGAAAATACAGAATCAGGCAGAGGAGGGCAGTTTACTTCTTGATTACTGAAGGACAAGTGGATTTTGTGAGCTGAGCAGCAGCCAGTTTGTAAAGGCAGACTGTCCACAATGGAACTGGCAAGCCAGTGAGGAGTTTGTTACCTGGAGGGCTGCATTTCCTTGTGCCCCACAAAGGAGGGTGGCTCTTGGCTCAGCCTGTTCACATCCCATTTGTCACATCATCTCTCACCTCTTAGGCAGTATGAAAAGTAACAGGGATTAGCATTCCGTGGGCAGCTTTTCCAAGGACAGCCTCTCTCCGTGCGGGGCTGCACACCCACACCTGCAGAGGGCTTTGCTGGGCAGAGCATTCCCAAAGAGACGGTCTCCTCTCTCCCAGGGCTGCTGGCAGGAGGGGGTGCTGTGCAGCCATCTGTGCGGGGGCACACACGCGTGTCCTTGTCCTTCCTTTCCAGGGTGACTGCTGCCCTGCCCGTGCCTGCTGGCTCCGGCCAGGCTGGAGAGCTGCTCTGCTGCCTGACACCTTTATGTCACCCCCAGGCTGGGGGCTCCATGTCCTCCTGCAGCAGTAGCTTGCTGGATGGCTTGGGACACTCACCCAGCTTCCCCTGGGTGTGAGGGGGTGAGGACAGCACCCAGCTGCTGCTGGGGGGCTGTGTGAGCTGGCTGATGGTAACAGTGGGGTGCGATACTGCCAGCGTGCTGTTAGCGTTTGTTTCTCAGCATCATCTCAGATGGTTCCAGCAGTGTGGTGGGTGGTACTGTGTGCTGTAGCCTGGTTACAGGCTACTGTGCCCTGGCAGAACTCTTGCCTTTCTCATCATTTATTGCCCCTCACAATTTATAGCTCCTGCCATATGTGCTCCAGCACGTGGGGCACAGGTGGGGTGGAACGTCTGCCATCACCTGCTCCCACCAACATTCACCTCTGCAGGGAGGAAACCCTGTGCTTCAGAGGGCTGGGTGGGCCAGGATAGCTGCTCTTTTGAGGTACAATTCTGCTTAGCACACATGGCATAAAGCTGTTGAGACCCAGTGTGTGTCCACGTTTCTTTCAGATGACACCCTTCTGATGATTGCAACCCAGAGGAGGTGAGCATGCCTTTTCTCTCTTTGGCTGGTTTACAGGAAATTAGGGCTACCGAACTCACTGAAAGATTACAGGAAGGGGATTGTAGTATTCAGAGTCATTAAGCAATTTGATTTTACACAGCCATACTCTCATGGCATACCTGCTTAGAGGGTCTGGCCAGTTTTACTTGTGCACTTGGAGGATGAGTCAAATCCTCACTTCATTTCCTGGTTCTTGATTGTCAATGATTAGCCAAGTTTTTGGACAAATCTTCTCTTTATTTTAGGATATCTTTTATATCCTACTGCTGCTGCCTTCCTGTGAGCCCCTTGGCCTGTTGGGCCGACAGGAAGACTGGCATATGTGGCTTGCTGAAACTCCTGCGACTGTGCTGCTGTCAGTGCAGGGCCTTGTTCAGGAGCTGCCTGCGCTGTGTTCTCACTAGTGTGGGGCCCTCTGGGGCTGGGCAGCAGGAGTGAATCCTCCATTTGATGCAATGGCATCCCTCACTATCCAGAGAGGCCTCTCTGATAATTGTTCTGGTGCTTTCACATACACACACTTCCAATCACTTGTTCCAGAATTAATATTCCTGTTAAAAACTGTGCAGATTCATGTGGATATTAAATGTTCCTGTTCTTTTCCTGCAGCAGCTCCAGCAGTGCTCGCTGGTGACACGGGGCAGGCCCAGGGGTTTGATCCTGTGTGGCTGCAGTGGTAGGACCTGCTGAGCTCCATCTTCACCAGCGGTTTGGCAGCGCTGGTGCAGCCAGAGGATGTAAAAGCAATGCGTTTTTCCCCCCAACTAAAAGCTCTTACAATAGCTTACACTGTCTCTGCTTGATCAGCTGATGTATAACTCCAGACTAATTGAGTAGCAGCCTTTCAGCTGGGTTGGAAAGCTTTTAAAAAACCAAAGGCCTTTGCATTGAAGTGAACTAAAGCTATTAGCCCCTAATTAAAACATGAGGTTTCATCTTTACCTTTCTAGACATCACAGAAATCTATGTATTTTTCAGGCTGTAAGCCAGAAATCAAACATTCATCATGTAATTGCAGTAAGTGTGGGCTAATACTTCTCATTAAGTGTGATTTATGAATTCCAGAATCGCCTACGAGGTAAATATATAAAATTATTCTGAAGTCTGCAGAAATGAAGGTATTCATTTCTTTGGATGACTGTTCAGAAGGAAGAATTTAATGTGAACATTACAGCTTTCAACATTCAGTACAGACACTGCATTTGGACACCTGTACCTTTGCCGTTCCCTCCAAGTCACTGCTCGTCTTTCACCCGAGCTCACCCT